GCTGAAACGCAGCCACCTTCTTACTTTCCCTGCAGGCTCCACCCCACCCTCAGTAGCTGTGCTGAGCAGCTCACCTCTCGACCCTACTTCCAGCTTCCATTGCAGCCCTCTATACCCTTCCATCCTCCACCAAACTCTGCCTTCTACACTCACTCCCTTCCTTTTACCGTCACCAATTTCCCACATCTTCTCCCCACTGTCCAAGGATTGTCTTATCCAGTCCTAATTGGATATTAGTGTGTTGCCGATTTTCCATGTTGTTTTGAGTCTTGATTGTAATCTGCTGCTTAAGTAATAAAATTTTGTTTTTCCTATCGGATTCTAGTTAACTCCGGTATCAAGTGCACTTGTGAGTTAACTTCTACTTTTAAATGCTGTTTAACTTCAGTTCTTTCTCATTCTTGGTGTGTTTTCCTGACCGCGTCATTTCTGCCTGATGAAACATAAGTTTTATTACTGAATATCATAGATTAAACTTATAAGTAATAAGCAATTATTTATTATCTATGCTACAGAAAAATGTGATTGGGAGTTGTGAGAAGTGTTCAGAATGGTTGAAGGCTATATATTTGTATAACAACCAATTGAAAAATTTATCGAAAGGATCATTTATTGATAAAAAATTCAGTATTTACTAATGCTAAATCATTCCAAGCCATCAACATACCAGAACCTACAATTTCTGGCATTAGAAGTTAAAAAGGATTTGTGAGGACATGAAGATTTACCCTAGTTTGGGTTAAGAACAACCTGATAGGAATAAATGGAAAAGAAGGATTCTTAAAATGGCCCCAAATATTTAGAACAGGGGCAAGGATAATGGTGGCGGTTGCTATGCTGACTGACACCTGTCATTTATTCAACAGTTATGTTCCAATGTTTTATTGTCTTTTTTGCTCCTCGTTTCAAAATACAATTAAATGAAGATCTAAACTTATGTTTATTGTAATTTCTTGATGTTCATTCCTACATGTATGTAGTATTTTGTTTGCTGTCGTGAAACAAGGAGATCGTAATAATGCTACTTAGGAATTGGCAGTGATAACTTTTTTATTGTGTTTTATAACTATATTAATTGTGTTATTTGCTGACTTCATGAGCTATTTTTCAGGTTGCCACTAAAATTGAGTCAAACAAAAATGCTGGCAATGCAATTCTCTATGAATGTGTCGAAACTATAATGGGTATTGAGGCTACGAGTGGTCTTCGAGTTCTTGCAATAAATATATTGGGAAGGTTTTTGTCAAATCGTGACAACAATATCAGGTCAATATTTATTTGCAGATGGTTTCAATATATATTTTTATGATGATTTCTTTTTTTATCGGGATTACTTTATAAAAGGATTAACTTAAGTTATTGATAACACAGAAAATTTTTGTGATATTATTGTTAGTTCTTTACCATTTTTGAGCATGGCATGTCATGCATTATGTCTTTACATCCAAAAGGTCATACTCTGGTGGTGGAGTCCAACTTCAGACATCTTTAAGTATATATCCTAATATCAATAAACTTCATTACTTTACTGTAAGTTCCCTGTAAGCTCACTTGATGGAACTGAAAATATTGGATGGGCTTATTGTTGTAGCCTTTTTTTCTACAAATATAGGAGTTGATAGTTTGTAATTGAGGTATTTGATGAACATTGATGAATGAAATTTGATTTGTGAGGTTAATTGAGCGCTTTTTAAATCCAAATTATGCAAATTTGATGCATAGAGTTCTTGCATTGCATCAATTTTGATAGTAGAGCTCATATCTTTCTCTTTGATTTCCATTACTCATTACCTCTGAAGATGACTCACCTGTGGATTCCATCTCGATTCCTTAAACCCATAACCACATCTGCATAGGTTATACTGCAAATCCACGTATGAGAACTTACCCTACATGACCGCCTCATCACTTGACCTATGCCCTATCCTGTGACTCAAACTTGTTCCATCCCTGCACTGCACAAGCAGGTCCTCGATCTCTGCTGTTGTGTGCCCGCAACTATTTGTTGTTCTTGTACAGGTTTACTTGACTAATCCCATGTTCTTACTATTCTTTCCCAAGTTTACACAATATATTTATCCACGAGTTTTCATGTGTTTTCATCCTCATGCAATTTACTGACATTCTACGAACTTTCACACTCGTAAATCGAATTCAATTGGTATCATTGTCAACTGCAGAACTCATTCTCAGCATACCATGATCCTAGTGAGACTTTTTTCTACCGGGATTGGAAGCTTTCCTTTGCTAATCTCCCCAGGATCAGTATTGCTATTAATTTTTTTTATCAAATGGATAGAAGTGAGATTTTCTATAGGTTTCCATTGTACATCTAAGAACATCCTATTGAAAGCAAGATTTGGTGCAGTTACATTTAACTTATTAAGTTTATATATATATAAATGGCGTCGGTAGCGGGCTTTGTTAGGGTTTCGCCCGATGGTGATTTCCGACGCTGAAACTATCGGATTCACTTCTTTTCTCCGGCTAAGCTCGCAAATCGTCTCTTCTCTCCAACCCGACGACGTCGCTTTGTTTACCAAAGACGACAACGACGTTACGACACACCTTCGTTTTTGTTGCGCCCGGTGACGATGAACTGTGCACATGTCGTCTCCTAAACTACGACACGCCACTGCTCGCATTCGTCTTCCTGCCCGACTGATGTTCTGTTTGCACGTTTTGCAAACAGATGCGCGTGCCCGACAGACGGTTTCTTCTCGCATCCCGTTCTTATAGCGGACCGCCATCTCTCTTGACCGTTCTTGGGTGGGAGATGGCCTCGATGATTCGTTCCTATGCAAATGCCCTTGCCGACGACTTGTCCTCTCTTGCTAGTGCCCCTCTTCCAGGTTTAGCGTCTGGTTTTCCTATTGATAAGTCCTGCAATGTTCCAAAATTTTTCCACGAGGCTCTTGAAGGTGGAGGTGATCACACTATTAAAAAGCTTGGGGAAAAAAATGGGAAGCCTGCACTTATTCTCACAGAGGCTGAAAACGGTACTTTCGCGTCTTCTTGACATTTTTCTCTAGTGGGGAAATTCCTTTATGGTCACCCAAAACTGGAGATCATTAGGAAGGAGTTTGATGCTATGAAACTATTGGGCAGTTGGAACATTGGTCTACTTGACGGTAGACATATACTTATTCAGCTATCTCATGATACAGATTACACTCGCATTTTCTCTCGTAAAATTATCAAGAGTGACAATCGTTTTATGAAGATTCTGAAGTGGATAATCGGTTTTGATCCAAAAGCGGAGTCCCCTATTATTCCTGTTTGGATAAAATTTCCGAGGCTAAAATTACGTCTGTTCAACATGGAAATCCTCTACTATTTAGCAACTGCTTTCGGTAAGCCTCTCAAGGTGGATAATTCTACGCTTGCTGTCACTATGCTGCCACTAGACTCTCTGTGGCTTGTGTGTTAGTTGAGAGAGATATCACTCAACGAGCTCCGGATGAGATATGTATTGACACTATTCATAACGGGTATTGGCATAAGGTTGAAATGGAAGCACATCCTTCTTATTGCTCTCATTGTAGAATGTTTGGACACAGCTCTACTATTTGCTATCGTTTGCATCCTCATCTAAGGCCGAATATCACTAAAGAACAATCACTTATTATCCCTATTGAGAAGATGCAACCTGGTCCTCTTCCCAACACCCGCTGTTTCTGAGGAAGAACAACTTACTACAACTATAGATCCATTTGTGCATATACCACCCACTGCTATTGAAGAAAGCTCACTTACATATCAAGACACACGAGAGTGCTCCTTTGATCCAATAACAAATCAGCCAGTACAACATGTAGTTGCTTCTAACGTTTAACAATTTGCACAGGTCCAACACACATTGGACCAAGATCAGGTGAGCCAATTTTCGGAAGAGGAATGATAGTTCTATTCCAGGAGGAAGAAAAAGAATGGAAGCCGACTCCAGCTCGGGAACATATTGGATGATACATTGGTTATTACTGACAATGACAATCATCTCACCAACTTATTAGCTTGCTCTTTTTCTAGGACCAAAGGCAGAGGCAAAACCAAATTGAGGCAAAACCAAATTGGGTTGCCTCTGCCACCTGATACTATGTATTTCCGCAGTTTTAGGCTTTCTCTTTATGTCTCTAATGTTAAAGAGGAAAAGATACAGATAGGTTGTATGAGTGGACCTAAAAGAAAACCCAACCCACACAATACAACACATACAAAATCTTAAGAAAGAAAAGATACATATAAGGTCAAAAAATCAAAACCATCAACGGGCGCAAAGCGCTAGAGATGTCCCAATTTAGTCCTCCCTCTGCCTCTAATTCTCGGAAAGGAGCCAACTAATAAATTGGTGAGGTGCGTACCATTACCCGAAGTAACCGAAATATCATCCATCAGATTCCTGAGCTCAAGTAGGTCTCCATTATTCTTCTTCCTTCTGGATGTGTAAACTTGCCATTTCTCATCTGAGGATTGACTCATATGATCAATGGATTGGTCTAAGGGTAGTCTGACAGGTGCAAAATGTTGCACATCATGAACCCCATATGCCTGAGTATCATTAATATTGTGCTCGATCTGATGAGGCGGTAGAGAAGCAATAGAAATATTGCCACGTGCAACCTAAACTATAGGACATGTGAAGTTTGAAAAATCTCCCTTGCCCCCACGAAAGATGATTCCAAAGACGGGGGAACTACAACATTGTGTGGAGGCTGAATGATTGACATATTGCCTACAAGAATAGTGACATCTTCAGGTGCATCTTTTTGATGTTCAATAGTGTCAATAACTTGGAGCTGATCAAAAGGAGACGGAAACACTGCCTCTGGCGCGGAGCAGTTTGCTTTTTTGGTCTGTGATGGGGGTGTAGATGATGACATTGAGAACTGGAGTAGCCGGACATACAACAGTTCGAACAATACGAAGGGAAAGACTCAATCACAACTTTTTGCCAATATCCACGATGTTTTGTGCCTAACCAAATTTCTTCAGAAGCAATTGAAGTGATGTCTCTTTGAACAAGTACTCTGGCTTCAGATGGACGAAAAATATTGAAAGTAGGAATGTCCATTTTGAGTGGCTTACCATAAGCTGAGGCAATAAAGTACAACACTTTTTGAGTAAAATAATGAATTTTCAGGCTAGGGAGGCGAATCCAGACCAGAATGATTGGTGGTTCCGTTTGTGGGTCAAAATCTACCGACAATTTCAAGATCTTTATTGCTCTGTTATCAATCCAGAATACCCTTCTAGCAAATAATCGCGTGTAATTTTCTTTATTATTAAGTTAAATAAGAACGTGTCTTCCATCTAACAGTTCAATTTTTCACTCTCCAACAAGATAAATAAGCTCAAATTTTTTACGAATAAGCTCAATTTTGGGATGGACATAAAGAAATTTCTCGACCAACTTTAGACGACAGGAGGAATAAAGTCGAAAACATTCAGCTTCTGTAAAAAAGATGACAGACTTCCCATTATTTCTTACAGGTTTCTTGATGTTCTCCGCCAACTCAAAAGAAGGAGAGAGAACATGATTTAGGAGTATCTGAAGCGTGGACACTCGCTAGTGCAGTAGTATACGTTCTGCGGAAGTCATCGCAATCGTCATGAGGCGCGGAGAAAGAGCAGTGAAATCGTAGTGGACGGTAGAGAGAAATTCGAAAGGGGAAATCCTGCGGTTTTTGCTCGAGCCCAAGGATTGCGGAAGAAAAAAATGCTGCGAGGAAGAAGACGAGAGGCGACGATTTCTGCTCGAACAGAGGGCGGTTTTTGCTCGAGCCCGAAGAATGCGGAAGAAAAAAAACGCGGTGAGGAAGAAGAGAGGCGACAACGACGAAGGAAAGGAGAGCGGAGGACCTTCCAGACGAGAGGAAAGATCACGACTTTCCAAAACGGTGATGACGAAGAAGATGCAGCGAAAAGTTGTCGGAGAAGACGAAGCAAGGAGAGGAAAGGATCATATGTGATAAATGTTCGTAACAGTTGCTAGTGTTTGCCATGAGGCGAACTAGCAGAGTCGAGCATGGGAGGAGACGACGCCATTCATTATATATATATATATA